TGTTGCTAGAAGACGTGTGTAAACTAATAAAATACTGTTAAGGTCACTTTGTTACGTCCTCACAAATTACATCCCACGACAGTTGGCTAATTGTTCTTTTTGTGATTCATAGACTAACAGGTGACTAATCTATTTCGTTGCACCTTCTTAAATTATTTTGATTGAAGAAAATAAACATTCAAAGAAACCAACAATTCTATCTCTATAATTACAGAAAGTGATACAGTTAATCGGATTTTCATACGAAATCCCAATTCCATGTACCTTTTCTTTCAGCGATGGAGACAAGAAATGACTCTAAGTAATGTTCAAATGCTTGAAGTTTTAAAATAACAGTAATAATGAGAAAACTAAAAATTTAGATTTAACATTTATTTATTTATTTCAAATGGCGGGCGTTATGATAGCTATCATTAGCCATTTAGCTGACTTCGGGCTTCACAGAAGAAAGGTTCATCAAAGTAGCAGAAAGTCCATTCACAGATGTAAAAGAGGTAGACAGACACAAAGGTAGAGAAAAAGGTAAAATGAGTACCGTGGAAGGGGTCGAATATGACAAGCAGTCGAGCCATGGCAGTTTGAAGTGAGAAGTCAACTGCCGGTTAATAGACTTTTTTGCCGTATGGGTATACTTCGCCCAGGGTGCACCACGTGGAGGTAAGTCTATCGCACACCCCGGATTTAACATAGATTTTCAAATTGTGGTGCCAAACGGAGACTAAATTGGCCCTAGAAGCCAACAAAACTCCGAATTTGTCGAAGACACAAAATTTCAAACTCTGACATAGTTAAAATTGGAAACAAATCTGAACATTTTTCATTCATGGAATCCTCAGTGGTCGTCGACCGCTTATTAACAGCGTCTTTCATTCCTTCGTAATTATTACTTATAATTTGGATGAAATTTCACATAAAAATTTCTTCTATGAAAATCCATTTAGTTGTAATCGTCATTCATACGTCAGTGAAACAGGTGGAAACGATGAAATAAAGTTTTTCTTCCCAATATTACTCATTAGTACCTCAGTAGTACCCATGTGGCGAATACTTTGATGATGCCGAAAACTAGTGAAAGTGTCATGAGTACTATTTTTCTCAGAGATTATTACTGCCACAGAGTAAGTAGTTGACATTCAATATGTGGAAAGAACCATTCCTTCAAGGATAATTATTATCACTTGTGGATCAAACCGTCTTTAATTGTGACCATTTCTTTCTAAAAAATGAACAATTACAGAATAAATTCAGTCTACTTGAGTTAGATCGGCAACTGGATAAATATATTTTTTCAGCTTTCACAAACGAATTCCAGTGTGTACTTGTTTATGTTTCTGAATAAACATGACATTTTTCTATCAACGCCTCCTCTCCCAACGTGCTCCTTTTATCACGTTTACAGATAGCGGTATAGAATGAGCAAGGCATATGCATACAAAACGACCAAAAGAGTTTAATAAAATCAATAAGTAGCAAAGATTGAAGAAATAGGACAGCAATGATTGAAACAAGCATGAGATTGTGCCTTTTTTCCTCGTAGTAATTACTTAACATTAAATCGAAATAGCATATGGATATGTCATCCATGCAAACCCATTAAGTTGAAATCATCATTGAAACATGTGAATACGCTGAAGTATAGCAGTTCAACACTATGCTACTTAATTATAAATCAGTAGTTATTATGTTACGAATACGTTTGGGAAGCAGCAAACTAACAGACACATACGACGTAATTTTATCAGGAATTATTTTGTCACAGAGCATGGATATCATTCAATATGTAATAAGAACTATTCCTTCAAGAATAACTATTGATACCTCTTGACGATCGCGCGGTCTTAAGTTGTGACTACGACATTCCATAAAAGAGCCAATTATTGAAGAATTTCAATTTACTATGAGTAAGATTATCAATTGGATAATTCCATTTTGCTCTAGTTTTTCAATAAATTTATTAATATACCCTTCGCATTTATCCTATGAACGCCTCCCTTCACTCAAGCTTAGATTTCGAATTCGAGCTTACGTTTTGAACTCAAGCTAAATCTAAATTAAACCTCTTTCTTGACAATAATTGTGACTGTGGTTTGTGTTTTTGTATCTAGAAGGTAAGAAATAATGGCGAACTGACGTTTGTCAAATTGAATAACCGTGTGCGACAACTTGTATTCGCCATATCTGCATAATTATTCTCCATGAGAGCTGCCGATGATGCACCACTGATATCATAAACTAAGTTTTTAACCAACATTCTTGATATATCATCTTAGGAATTCTAGCAAATCTAACTAAATGATCTATAATTGTGCTTTCTTAATTATTTTTTGTTGACTTTTCAATTATTAGCGATCAACTAGTAATCATCGGTAAAAATCACCAGGTTTCTAAAGAAGGCAAAATTGCCAAAAATTTCCCATTTTCAATGCTTTGCATAAACGAATCCCTGCATGTAATTTATTTTAGATAAGCATCTTAGGAGAAAGGTTTTTGATGTATGTTATGTATATGGTTAGTACCTCATAGTTTAAACATGGTATTGATTTTGCTAACAAAGTCAGCACTCGCCTCCGGCAACATCATCAGAAGATTGCATTCTCAGTGTCTTTAATATCAAATGGGTAAGCTAAAAATGAAAGTAACAGGGAAGAAGAATTAAAAAGTGTTTAAAGGGGTCTTTTCCCAGAATTCGTTTTCCGAGTTTTGCGTTTCCTGTTTACCGTCTTTCTATATTCATTCATTTTGTTATAGACAGACAGAGAGACAAACCAAACAACATTTTATACAGCAGACTGTTAGTCAAGATGTCGCTGAAAGCCGTGAAAGTAGCTCAGCGTAGAAACTGATGTTGTAACTGGCCAGTGAAGGGGTTGTAATAAAACGCATTTGCGGGCAATTCGAAAGAATGTAATTTACTGCTCATTTTTTATTCAAACTATTGGAAATTTTTATGTTATTTGACTATTATAAATTTTAATGCCATAAAATGCAGGAAGTAAACTTGGCCACTGGACAGACAAGGTTCAACTCAATGCAGAGAAGGTCGAAAGAAATGTAAGCAAAAAAATGTCTCTTTACGTCTCTTCGAATGAATTATAACTTCACAGTTCCAACTCTTCTGGGCGTTGTGTTCACCTACTCAACCAACAATGGAAGTGATTTCAAGGGCCTATGTGCTACTCTCATCCTCAATTTTATTCCCTCACTTCCCAATAACATCGGTGATGTCTTAAGGTCGGTTAATTATGCCGAGGTATTTCAAGTTATTGCTGTCATCAGACATCCACTGATTTTCTCCCAAATGGGAAATTCCACAAATTGTCCAGGTGATGGAAAGTGTCCGCACCAAACAAGCTGCCTGAGTTTCACCTCTCCACATGGTATCACTTTCGTTTCCTACATTTTCCTATCATTTACGTAGACCTTAAATGCTGTGTTTTATATCGGTGCTTTGGATTTGCCATCGCCATTTTTTTATACTTAAACGCTACTTACGTGTATTAGTAGCTTGTTGCAAAGCGCCATTTTTACTGAAGTATTCAAAATCCGTTTTGAATGTTGCACAAGGTATGTCAACTCTCAAAACTGATTTTCCTGTAATTGAACTATTCTTTTGAAGACGAAGAATTGAAATCATTAGAAATGCATCACGATAATATGAGACGAATGCAACTGACTGCATTTCAGGAGCTGGAATGTCCGACAAAACAAATGGGAACTACTTTTGATTTCTGAATGAATGCAGCGTTTTTAGGACTAATATGTGTCACAATGCTGATGAAGCGTCGGGATCGGAGTTATATGGCGGTGGAAGTGTTGATGACAAATCGGCATTTGTGGTCCTCTGGTTTTCATTATATATCTACTTACTATGTCAATTTTCCCCACTATGCTCATGGCTTAACGACCAACTTAATGTAATCTTGGGCTATCGATTATTATTCTATGCTAACTGATCGATCATAATTTAGTTGTCATGAGCTAGTTGAACTTCTCTGAGTTGATAATTTGTGGTTTATGTAAGCATTAAAGTATATTAAAGTATGTATCAAAGTATTAAAGCATATTAAAAATTGATATTTGACTTGATGGGATTATTCGTCTAGTTTAAAAATTGGTTAGAGCTAATTTATAATATCCGTACAGGTGCGAACGTTAGTCAAATTATTCTTGATTGTAAACACAATACATTTTTAGAGCCTTCCAAACTCAATGGGCTATTGAGCAAGATCATGTGCAAGTCCAGTTAATATTTAAATACCCCTGAGCCGATGAAATCTACGTACAAGGTTAAATTATCAATTTCATCCAGAAAACAATGGATGGAAAAGTTGTAAGGGGATAAAAT